GCCGATCTAACGATCATAGACGCCTGATGGTGTTTGAATTTTAATTTTTTTTTTACAAATTCAAATTATTTAAAATTTTAGACGTGTGTTGATAAAAAATAGGTGACGAGCAGGCAAGCCCAGGCTGGCATGGCTTCTGTTTTGGGCTATAATCAGCTTGCCGCGATTGTTGGGTATGGCTTCTGTTTTAGGGCTATAATCAGCTTGCTACAGTTGTTGGCCTTGTGATTATTATCAAGCACTGTGAAGCAGTTCATGTCGCTTATTTTACTGTTTTCCAAGTATATTTCTAATGCAGTTATCGTGCAACTCCCTTATTTTGCTGTTTTCCAAGTATATTTCTAATGCGGTTATCCGCCTAGTTGAACTCTGCGAGGGAGGCATGGCGATGGGTAGGCCCCAGGCTGCGTATCGCCTCTGTTGTGGGGCTATAATCAGCTTGCTGGCATGTCTGCCTAGTTGAACTCCGCAAGGGAGCCATGGCAATGGGCAGGCGCTAAGCAGGTCCCAGGCTGGGTATGGCTTCTGATTTGTCCCAAGCTGGGTATGGCTTCTATTTTGGGGCTATAATCAGCTGGTTGCCATTGTTGCTTTCTGGTGATTATTATCAAGTACTAGAACAACTCGGATGATGTGAAGCAGTTCATTTCACTTATGTTAATGTTTTCGAAGTATATCCATGGCAATGGGTAGGCGCTAGGCAGGATCAAGGCTAGCATTTGTTTTGGGGTTATAATCAGCTTGCTGCCATTGTTGCCTTTTCGAGTATATTTCTTATGCGATTGTCTGAACACCGCAAGGGAGGCCATGGTGATGGGCAGGCACTCCGCCTTTGTGGGGGTTTGTAATGGGTCTTGATTCTATATGCTGCTTTTAATGATCAGCTTGCTCTCCATTGTCACCTTTCCCATCACGGATGATGTGAAGCAGCTTAAATTATTGTTTTCCAATTATATTTCTTATGCGATTCTCCGCCTAGTTGAACTCCGCAAGAAAAGGAATAAGAAAACGTATACACAACAAGACCATGACATTAATAATGTTCACATGTACATTAGGAGAAACACCTTACATCCAAGAATAAATATAACATCCCAAAGTTGTGTAACATCTAATTCAAGCTTCGATGATCTTCTCTCTCCCTCCTGTTTCGCCCTCTTCCCTCTCCCTCTCCCTCTCACCTCTTGCCCCTCGTGTCGCCCCCTTAGGGGTGAGAATTGCCCCAATCTAGTTCCGAAACCCATATTTCGGATCCTATTTGAAAACAAAATAAAGTCTCACCTCAAATCCTCGTCCGGAAAGCACTTTCGACATGAAAAACTCCATGATGGCTCCAAAATTAATTTTCAACACCGACAATAAAATTTAAAATTGAAAAAATGTTAAAGGTCCTGCAGATTTATGATTTAAAACAAAATTGACCATCTAGATAATTTATTACAATATACACCATTTCAAATCTTGAAATCTTAATCTTTTTTAACAACCATAACGTTCATGCCATGATGATTGGTGTAAAGGTTTTGCAATACTTGAATTAAAAACTTTCATGAGTTATGGAGTGATTTTTACTTGTTTTGATAGGGCTGCAGCTCGATCAAACCATTCTCCTATACTAAATGGATAAATTTTATATAAACTAGATCCGTAGAAATTCAAATTGTTGTCCCTTGGTGGTTGTCTTACTCTTATTAAGTATGTGTTAACAAATCTGCCAATATATTATATGTAACTGATCAAACTTCCTACTAAGGTGGTAAAAAAATTGGAATGTATTATGAGGAAGTTCCTTTGGGGTGATATTGATGAAAAGTGCTTTCATTTGGTTCAATGGGACAAGGTTTGTGCACCTATTTATGATGGAGGTATGGGGATTAGAAGATTAAAACCCATGAATAGTGCACTTTTGAAAAAATGGTGGTGGAGATGTGCTAATAAAAAAGAGGAGCTATGGAAGACCCTTTTAGGTGAAAAATATGGTTTTCATAGTGAACATGGACTGATTGCCAACGGAAACAATAAAAAGGGAATTACATCAATATGGAAAGAAATTGAAGCTCATTGTAGATTATTTTTTAGTAATGTAAGAATGGTGGTGGGGAAAGGATACAATACCAGATTTTGATAACAAACTTGAATTGGAAATTGTCCTTTGAAGACTCAATTTCCCAATATTTTTGCTAAGGTAAACTTGAAAAGTAAGATGATCAGTGAAATGGTGAGTGGAAGAGGCTACGATGCAATCTAGGATATTCAATGTCCTTATAGAAGAGTAAGTAATGTTGTGGCAAATGGGATTCTGCAATGTTTGATTTTATTGCAATAATATTTTTACTATCTTGATGAAGATGATAAGTGTGTATGGACCCCAAACAACTTTGGAGGTTTTTCTATGAAATCTGCCTATAAATTTATGTACTATGATAGAGTTACATGGTGGGATAAAAGCTTAGTTAAGATCTGGAGATGGCCAATCCCTTTTAAAGTTTGTGTTTTTATTTGGCTACTGACACAAAAGAAGTTATTAACTATTGATATGTTGAGAATAAGAGGTAAATGCTTCCAAATGTATGTTTGCTTTGTAAAAATGATGGAGAGTCAGTTGATCATCTATTTTTTAACTGTATTTTTGGGAAAAGTATTTGGAATTGGGTTTTCAACTGTTTGGGCTTGCAAGTGAGTGCTTTGTCAGATACAAATAGATTCATTTATGATTGGAAAATTACAAATGTGGGTAAAAAAGGCAAAGATATTTGAAAAGTGGTGAAATTTGTTACTCTTTGGTAGTTATGGGAAGAAAGGAACAGACGATGCTTTGAAAACCAAAGCAAATAAGCTAATGATCGACAATAAAATATTAGAATTACTATTGTAGAATGGCTATCTATTGTTAAAGATTGGTAAGGGGTTCCTCGAGTTAATTTGATGTATCAGCTGAATATTTTGGTACAAGAAAGAAGTATCAAAGAAGTTAGAATAGGAATTTGGAAAAAACCAGGACCATGCTGGATTAAAGTGAACTTCGATGGCAGCTCTATAGATAACACAAGCCCTACGGGATTGGAGGTATTGTTTGAGACAAGACAATGAATGTTTTGCTGAAATATTCTGGACCTGTTGGGAATATTACGGCAAATGAGGCAGAGATGATATCTTGTTTACAAGTTGTTAATTTGGCTAAACAATTTAACAAACCCTTAATGATGGAAGAAGACTCACTAAATGTAATAAAATAGATAAAGAGAGAAGCTGAATTTCTTTGGTTATTGCATGAATTGGTGAGAGAAGTGAGGATGGAATGCAATGAAGTGAACGTTAGGTTTGATCATGCGTTTCGAGAAGTAGATATGGAGGCTGATGGTCTTGCTAAAGAAGGTGTATCTTTGGCAAATCTAACTATTGTTATTTTTTTTATTTTTTTGTAGTGATTTTTTTATTGTAATTGTTTTTGTAATTTGTTTTGACCGTTGTACGGGGTTGTGTGGCTCTGTAAAACTGCTTTGCTCCTTTGTTACGAATGAATGAATGGTGATTTTTTCTCACGAAAAAAAAGTTTATGTAAGGCCTTCAAATATAGAATTAAAGATGTACATCTCAAAAATCTATTGGAAAAGGTTGTTTTAATGTTGAAAAACCGTCTAATTGATTGTCTTGATATTGATATATATATATATATATATATGATTTGTCTAGAGTTAACAACCCCTCAAAATGCAAAGGTTTAAGTTAGAAGGGTTTGTGATGGGTGTATTTATTAAAATAATCATTAATTTTTTATTAAAAATTTATTTAAATAGGTAGCTTCACCATCAAGCAAGAGCAAATTTAAAATATTTAATTAGTTAAAATTTCAATTTTACCCCTTATAGGGATGATAAAATGTCATTTGTCTTGTACTAATATTTACAAAATTGCCCCACAAAAGTAACTTTTTTTTTAAAAATAAACTAGAAAGTTAATAAATCTATCCTTCGCAACTCTTTTTATCTTGATCCTTTGTAATTTGAAGGGTTGTGAAGTTTAGAATATATATATATATAATTTTGCAACACATTATCTAGACTATCATTTTTTAAGATTTTTATATGTTTATAGATCTACATTATTTTTTAACCATTTTAAAGTTTAAAATTTTATAACCAAATATAAAAATAAATTTTTCGATAGGCTTTAAGAAATTTCTACACGAAAATTACGATAAAATTTGTCCCATAAATAATACATTGTGCAACACATTATCCAGACTATCATTTTTTAAGATTTTTATATGTTTATAGATCTACATTATTTTTTAACCATTTTAAAGTTTAAAATTTTATAACCAAATATAAAAATAAATTTTTCGATAGGCTTTAAGAAATTTCTACACGAAAATTACGATAAAATTTGGAGTCGCGCTGGATTCTTTAAGGTTGAACCGCACGCATATACCGTACTTAGCTTAAGATTTAATTGGAACTTGGTTTCCCAAATTTAGCTCCAATTGGGCTTTGAAATTTGTCATGAACGTGAAGTATTGTTTACGCGAAATCAACGAAATTTCGCCAAAGTTTTGCTTAGACGTGGACGTCTTTTGGGAGCGAAACAAGGAGAATATCAAAATTTCGGGGAGGTTTGGCGAAACTTTTCCGAAATTTCACTCTCAAATTGTGATTCTGCGTTCCAGAACTTCGGCCGCTCCGAAATCCCGAATCTCCCGCCGTTTTCTACTTTCCATTAACTAGCCTCAAACCCCACAATAAATTTCTCTTCTATCCATCTTTAAAATAGAAAATAGATGGCTGTAGATGGGACGATCACCGTCAACTCGATAAATGTACGGTAGAAAAAAGGTAAAATCATAACTGAGTTCTTCACTGTGGGACCCACGAAACTCATCACCGTCACAATCATCATAAAAACGATGTTGATTTTGTGTACTACAATATTACTGGCTTAAAAAGGGGTGATGACTTTTGTAGGGGTATTTAGGGAAGTAGCTCTGGTTTATACTGTGACCTCGGTTTCTGGTTAATTATTCAGAGTTAATTTTATTTTTATTTATTTTTCATCAGATGAGAGGGAGAGGGAGAATGAGAGAAGAACAGAGCTCTGAAACCATGGAGCCTCCGCCCATTGCCAGGTCTTCTTCGCCTCCTCCAACTACTGCAGCCAGGTGCCCTCTCTCTCTAGAAACCCTAGTTTTTTCTCTCTATAAACCCTAGATCCTGTCTTTGTAGTGGAGAAATGGAAGGAGATACTCTGATTCAGATACGGAATCTGAAAGCTATGTTTTTTATTTTATTTTATTTTAGGGCTCATAAAGAAAAAGGGGCAGAAGAAACCCTAATTCGCGGAGATTCGCTGAAAGCCTGAAATTGCACCATTTTCTCTATCTATGGAGCCTGATTTATTTACATAGAAGCCCTGAATTTTTCTCTATGGGTAAACAGATGTCGGTTGAAAGTTGAAACCCTAGCTAGAGTCGAGGGTTTGCACCTGAAATTGGAATTCCATTTCATTTGATCTATCTAGAAACCCTGATTTCTCTCCCTAGAAGCACTAACACTCATAGGAAAAATGCCTATTGGGACCCTAATTTTAAGGCAAGAATTTCCGTGGGAACTCTAAAATTGGAGCAAATCGGCTACTTTTTGCTCCTCTATTTCTATTTCCAGAACCCGTAATTATACATGTTAGGGAAACTGACAGCCAAAACCCTAATTCCAGAAACGATTAATTCCTGGATGCCCTGGAATTCCAGCATAGCTATTTCAAGTTAACTTCCCTAACTATCTCCTCAGTGGAAGCAACCAAAATCCTAATTGGATGGAATGATTGAGACCTAGAACACCTGAAATTCCCGTATATCTAGGAGCCTGTTTCTTATGCTTTCTCTCTCAAGGAACATAGTTTGTTACCTCTTAGTGGGCCCTCTTAGTGGGCCGATATAGGTTGGGTTTCACTGGTCATGAAGTCGAACAAATTTTTTTTCTATAGTCTTTCTATTCTTTAAGTGAACTTTCATGGGATTTGTAATCTGCTTGTTTACTTTTGCTGTTTCCTTTTCTTGTTCTTTTTCTTTGAAACACTGACAATCTGTGCGTTAGTTTAACTTTCTTATTCTAATATCAGGTAACAAATCTAGGTTTCAGTGTGGTTTGCAAACCTACAGCATTGGGTTTGTACAAGAAAATCTGCTAGGGTTTTATTTCCAAGAATTCAGGGATTGGCGAGTTTTACTCGATGGAGTGAATGGTGGAAATGCTTCCATGTGAACGAGTTTTACTCAAGGGAGTCAATTTTGTTCTCATATAACTATTGAAATTATAGTATCTTGACCTTTTTTTTGAGGGCAGTACTTCATTAATCTGAGCTAATAAAGTCGTACAATGATGAGGTTTACTTTTGGTGAGTTGAAGAATTATTTCAGGCTTATTTCCTTCTTGGGGAATCTTTAGAGATTTTATGCACTGGTTTGTGCTCAAGTTTGACCCAAACAAGTTAGGGAAAATAGATTGCTATTGTCCGTAATTACTAAAAAAAAATTGAATACTTGAAGCTCAAATTTAATTTGAAAATTTGTATCTTTTCTTTCTGGGTAGTTCAGTGGTAGGAATCGAACTTGAGATATAGCATTGCCATCGTCACTGCTAACCACTCAAGGCCAAGCCTGATTCCTGAAAAATATCAGTAGTATACGTTAAAGTTTTCTCATCTTAAATGCTTATTGTCATTTAACCTACAAAAAAGTGTTATTTGATATGCATGTGATGCTCGACACAAGTGTCAGGAGCTGACTGGGGGTCCATTTCTTGTTCAATTGGATTTGGGTGGAAGCTGTATTTGTGGTTGCCATGTAAACTAGTTGATGATTTACCTGGTTTTTTTAACTGAGAATACAGTAAGCTGAATAAATGTATAAAGTTTTTAAAGACAACAGTGCAGCAGGTGATTTATTGGAAGTTCAGATTTCCTTGAAGGTTACTAGTTCTTTCATCCCAAACGGTCCTATAAAATAAATATAAACAGTGACAACAAACATGTCTTTTACATGATATTTTTTACCGCATGATTCTTCACCCTACCAGCATGAAGCTGATCGGGTAGGAACAGTATTTTTTAATTTTTTAAGATTGGGTGAAAGGATCAGAATGTACAGTTACTTCTTAATAGCACACAGGCCATCCGGCAAGGCAGCATTTCCATTATGGTACAACTAGAAAAAAAAAATCGGAGAATGGATGTTTTCACTATTCATCACTCTCACTCAGGTTTCATTGCTGCATTCCATCGTAGTTGTAAAATGATGGGCTTATATAGTTATATTTTCCAGTTCCGTTGGGGCATCATCACCGGCTGTTCCAGCAAACTTCAACAGTATAGATTGGTTGGGTCATGGACAGGGTTCGAAAGCGGCTTCTTTGTCTGGTTCACCAGTACCTTGGACTTCAATGAGCACAAGTGCTTGTGAATCAGCACTCGGCATGTCACGACGCTCCTGTAGACCATGGGAGCGTGGAGATTTGCTTCGGCGTCTTGCCACATTCAAGCCTTCAAATTGGTCTGGAAAACCAAAGGTTTGCATCCCAATTATGATTTCTCTATTTTCTTTTGGCAGAGGTATTCTGGAATGGAACTTGCAAAATTGTTGTTTATTTCTTATTGCCATTTTTTCGTGCTGCTTTCTTCCTGGAATTTATGGGCAGTGTAGAATAGATAAGTTTTGCATGGACGTTCAGATGTTTCTGAAGCATGCGTGGTTTCCCATCCATGTTGTTCATTTAATTGAACCTATCCACTCTAGAGATCCACAAATAGAAGGCTTTCGCCCACGTTGTGCTGTGCTCGTGCAAATCGCTATTGCATATGATATATGTTAGTGGACTCCTCTGTATGCTGGCTTTTCAATATTAACTATTCTTTATTGAATTTGAACTTTGGGGCTATAATGGCAAAGTCTAGATTGATTCGCCTACTCATTCATTCATCCTGACCATCAAGGATTGTTGCCAAGACCACTACCGAGACTCAGAAAAGAGGACCTTGGTTTTTCCTCTCAATGAACTGTTTTATCAAACATCCACTTAAATGTCTTTTTGTACTTTGCTGAACCAGCGATTGGGATATATAGTGTATCCCTTTCCGCAACAGTTGCCTCTTGTATGTTGTACTTGAACGGAAACTGGGATTTTCCTATGGCCTTTGGTCCAATGAAGTGATGTGATTCTTGAACTATCAGGCATAGCACAAGATTCATCTTCCTCAAACTCAACCTGAAACAGATGTTCTTTCAAACATTAGATAGGGCTAGTTTTAATAAAAAAGTGGTTCTTGTAATGTAAAAATTTGGTCAAGCAAAGACTTTGAATTTAGAAAGTTAATAGATACTTATAATTACTCCGAACACCTTTAACGACCATGATCATCATCATCATAGCCTTTTCCCAATTATTATTTGAGGTCGGATACTCGTATCCTGATCTTTCATTGTGCTATCAAGGGCTACAACCTTATTGGGGCCATAAGTCCTCATATATTTTCTCACTACTTACAACCATGTCCGTTTAGGCCATTCCATTACTCTTTTTAAGTCTTCCACTTGAACCAACTCGCACTTCCGAACAGGTGTTGTATTGGGTCGGTGCTACACATGGCCAACCCACCTCAGTCCACTTTATCTCATCTTCAACAACCTTCTAGTTACATATGTAAATTATGGCAACAAGAGAAGTTGGTATACTTTTAGATGTACTGGCTGATATTGAGGCTTATCTTGTTTGATTATTTTGGAAACATTGTCCTAAAACCAATGGTTTAAAAAGCGGATCGGTGACCTGGATCGGGCACCTCAAAAACCGATCCGGATCGGCGAATCGGCGATCGGGATCGGAATCGGCTGAATCGATCAAATTAAAGCCTCAAAAAAATTCGAAAAAATTATTAAAATTCATTATAAATGTTGTTTTTAAGGAATCCAATAAGAAATGAGGGTACTACATTATTAACTTTCATTTTTTTCATCAATTTGTGAATATTGAGATGCTCTTTCCCTGTATAAACTTAAGTATTAAATTTGCATCACATAAAAGAAAAATCATAGAATTATCATGGATAAAATATATAATTATACATGGACTATAATAAAGAATAAGATTAAATCAATGAAAGAATGGCCATTAAAATCTCGTTTTGGCGAAAATCCTAATCCGCTAAAAAACCCAAATTATTACAGCCTAACTAACTGTAATCCAAAATTATTACAACCTAATTAATTCTAGTATTATATACTGAAATTATAATTATTAGTTTACATTTTATAATTATTTTATTAGATAAATAATAACAAATTAACAATATTTTATAATATTATATAATTTAAAATGTATTATTGACAACTGTAAGAAAAATAGTAGATTACATGATTTATAATGTAAAAATTAATAAATAAAATAAAAGATTTGATTATCAATGTAAAAATTAATAAAATGCATACAAATTTTGGAAATAACACTTTAATTTGTTATATGCCCAAAGGAGAACAAAAATTAGCTCAAGAAGGGATAAAATATTATATGACACGTGTGGGAGTGTGTGTGTGTACCGCTCGTGTCACACGTACACACGTGTGGGAGTGTGTGTATGTACCGTTCGTGTCACACGTGCACACTTGTGGGAGTGGTGCGTGTCGCACGCGTGACGCGTACACACGTGTGAAGGTGTTTTTGAGGCTAGAACTAGGAGGGTACCACTAGAACCGGGAGGGAACTGGGTGGGAATCGGTGGTTCTGCTCTAGAACCGTGCGGTTCCCGATTTTGTGCTGGAACAGGCACGGGCTGTGCCGATTCCCGAGTCGAACCAGACGAGTCCGGCGAGTCCGGTTCGACTCGCCGATTTTTAAATCATTGCCTAAAACCATTCCCATAAGATTGTTTGGGATTTTTTTGTTGGACATCTTTAGTCCACATTATTTAGGCTTGATTTTAAATTAATTAATATTTGTTGAACCTTTCAAATCCTTATTTTTAGAAGAGAGTTAGAAAGTTATGTCGTCTTACTTGTTGCATAAATGATTGTTTGCGTTTCTGCCAAAGGCTGACAGCTGTTTCTCATTTTTCTTAGATATATTCAATTTATATCAGGATATGACCATCTCTGATCTCATTGAAGTTGTGATTCTTGCATAAATTTGAATGTGAAAGGACAGATAAACTGTTTTAGCTTCTCTTTTTCTCATTTTCTGTTCATAAGTCACGTTATTTTGTTAATTTCAAAATTCAATTTTATCTTTGGGATGGAGGACCAGAAAGATGAGGCAATGGACATAATCCTTTACTTTATCATCATCTCTCTCTGATTTATTTGCATATATTGTAACATTGTTGCTGTTATAATTTGGAAATTCTTTTGCATTTGAAATACATACAGGTGGCTAGTTCACTGGCTTGTGCTCGAAGAGGTTGGGTGAGTGTGGATATTGACAAAGTCTCATGCGAGTCATGTGGTGCAAACCTCAGCTTTACCATATTACCAGTTTGGGCACCCAGCGAAGGTGAGCTTCCGTTCTGTATCTCTATGTAATACTAGACATCTTGTTCTCAACTGTTATATATCTACTGTATATAAATTGCCTTCTTTGGGCAATCATATTTGTGAGTGGTGGGGGTTTCTCATTTTAATTATTTCTAGTCACTGCCGATAGCTATTTAAGCACTTCTTCAGTGGAGACTCATTTTGTTGGAAAATTAGAATTTTGCCGAAGCTTACATTGAAAGTTACACTGGGATCAGGAGTCCTTCCTGCCCATGCTTAAAAATTATAATCCCCCTTCTGAAATTTAGGAATTTTTTAGTCAGACTCCTTTCTCTGGGATTTATTTTTCCCGCAACTATCGATGTGGATATTGAATCTATGGAAAAGGTCTGGATTATACTGTTAACTAAGCTTGTTACCAGATGGACCAAGCTGCGTTCCTTAAACTATTTACGAAGTACTTTGGATTAAGAAAACCAAATGAAGTTACCCTTAAGAAAACCAAATGAAGTTACCCTTAATTGACCAACATATTCTTTCCCAGACCCCGTTTCCTTGCTCCTGGGCTAAATGCTACTAGATTTCCTGTATTATGCTTCTTTATTGATTTCTGTTTTCTTCTTTTCTATGTATCTCTGGCTTGTTTTCGTAACTGTTTCCCTCTGGGAGGCCCAAAACCTTGTCCAACACTCCTATTTTCGAGTCCTATGCTGTAGCAATGGCTGCTTCATGCCTGTGAGGAGCATTTTGAATTTTTTTGATATAGTTTGCCTATTTTACCTGACCCCGCTTGTTTGGCCTTTGCTGACTTTACTTGAAGTTTTATTTTGGTGGAAGTTGATAGTGCTGGTGAAGCCTTTGCCAAGCAACTTGATCTAGGTCACAAAGTCTCATGTCCCTGGAAAGGCAATAGCTGTGCAGAAAGCTTGGTACAATTCCCTCCAACTCCCCTATCAGCACTCATTGGAGGTTACAAGGACCGATGTGATGCACTGTCGCAATTCCTGTCTCTTCCTGTTATAGCTTCATCAGTTATTGAGAAAATGAGGCTCTCTAGAAGCGCACAGATCGATCGTCTCCTTTCCCAACCTCAAATTTTAGCCATGGGAGAATTTTGTTCTAAGGCTGACAGTATACCTGGACCAGAGTCCCGAGAGGAGGCTACATATCTTTATTCTCTTGTATGTATGCCGTACCTTTTCTTCATGGTGCTTTTCTACAGTTCATACTGCCTCTTGATGTAGTCTTCTTCTTCCTCTGCTACTGCTGCTGCTGCTTTTGTTTGGCATTAGTATTTTACTCTAAAGTTTCATGTATGCCTCTTTTGTAGGCTCAGAAGCTGATAAGTCTGTGTGGATGGGAAGCACGATGGCTTCCAAATGTAGTAGACTGTGAAGAGCACTCTGCCCAGTCAACTAGGAATGCTTGTTCGGTTGGCCCGACCCGTGACCCATTGTGTCCATCACAGGAACCTGGATCCAGCAAGAACAGAGCAAAGAAGGATACTGGAAAGAAAAAGATATCAGTTACAGACCAAAGACCTGAATCCAGGTCTTCTGTGTTGGACTGTAGTTTATGTGGAGCCACTGTTAGACTCTGGAATTTTCTCGCTATTCCTCGACCTACACGATTTGCTCCTATTGCCATTGATATTCCTGAAACGAGCAAGAAATTGACACGTGGTGTGAGTGCTGCTAGTGGAATTAATGGGTGGGTTGCAGCGGATGGAATAGATAAAGAGCAAACTGAAGGTCGTGATGATGCAGCCACCACTGATGAGGGGAAATCACCATCAAATGTAGGTGTGGATTTGAATCTTACAATAGCCGGTGGACTGAATCCATCACAATTCAGCACACCCACAATGCCTGGTGATTTCAACGATGCAGCTCGATTTAGGGATCCCATGATCAGGCAGCCATCGGGAAGTGAGGTTGGTGATCGTGCAGCTTCTTATGAATCACGAGGACCACGTACACGGAAGAGGAGTTTGGAGGAAGGTGGGAGCACGGTTGATAGGCCACAGGATCGAATGCATGCTGATAGTGTAGAAGGTACAGTTATTGATCGTGATGGTGATGAAGTTAATGATGGCCGGCAATGTTCAAGTGGTCCCTCCAAGCGTGTTCGTGACTCCCATATATCACAGAGAGGAGATATTTCTCTTGCGGGTCCAAGCCATGCTATGGGTTATGATGTTGATACTGAAGTCGACAGAGTCAATCCATTTAGACAAGAGGACAGTGAACATATGGTGGGCATGCCATCTGCTAGAGACTCAGCTCGTGCATCATCTGTCATTGCTATGGATACTCTTTGTCATGGTGAAGATGAAGATTCTATGGAGAGTGTAGAGAACTATCCTGGAGATGTTACTGATGTTAATTTTCAACCATTTATGTATAGGAACCAGGAAATGAATGATGTGTCAGAACTGAACCCTTGTAGTGTTCAAGCCCAGCAGAGTGGTTGTAACCCACCAATCTCTGGAAGAGTTGCTGAAGAAACAGGTTTAAGTAGCACTGATGAAGGTGAAGAAACACTGAATGCGGAAAATGTTGCTGTTGAAGCTAGAGGTGGAACTAGTATTGGTATAAGTGGGGGGAGTTTTGGCATGGCTGCTAGTCATGAAGCTGAAATTCATGGGACTGATGCTTATATCCATAGAGCAGACAGCACTGTTGGTGAGGCAGAACCAGTGGCTGGAGTTATTGAAAATCAGGGGCAAAGTGGTGAGTTTGGTCCTGATCCTGGTTTAATGGATGAGTTTGTGCCTGAAGAAATATATCGGGATGATGGTCACGGTGATAATCAAGATATGATGTCACATTCAGTGGGTAGGGTGGATAGTGGCTCAAAATATGATGGCTCAACGAAAGCTGAGTCACTTGAAAGTGCTGAGAAGATAAGCCAGACAATCGGTCGTGCGAATAGTGACCATCGTTCTCTTACAAATAATGCTATGATATTTTCTGGTTATGAAGTGTCCAAGGAAGAGGTGACTAAAGCTGGCAAGCAATCTAGACCCGATGATTGCACTTTCCTAGAGTCCGAGTATGTTGCTGGAAATGGTATGGTTAACTACGACATCTTCTATGTTCTACCGTCGTCTTTTGTAATTGTTTTGGCTTTAGCGAAGCCAAAGTTTCCTAGATAAATTTTCAGATTTTAGTAAAGAAAATAGTTAAATATGGGAATATTAAAACTACATTAATTACCAATCCTGATACTGAAATACCTAGATAAAATCCATTACAACTGAAATCTGAGTTTCTTACCCTTCTGTATCTTTGGAGTTTTTGGGACATATTGTTATACTTGACTGGCTAGCTTTGCTGTTGATGTTTATAGTAGACCTCTAGATGTTTGAGTTCACAATCAGCCTTCTCTTCTCTTTTTGCCATATGCATGCTTTTCTGTGCACATAAAAGGTTGAGGTTGAGGGTTTTCAAATGCTTGATGCGTTCGCATTTTTTTTCCCTTTCTCAAAGAAAAGGAAAAACTGCAGTACTTGGTATCAACATTATGATATTTTCATTTGTTATCATTGTCCCCTTTCTTTCTTTCCTTTTTTGTTTTTTTTGAGACTTTTGGAATTGAGTTTTTTGTACTAAGTTGCCATGTTTTGGTTAAACTCCTCTGTAATGTACTGTTCTCTAATTGATTTTGTGATAAAAAATGCTTTGCGAAAAATAATATTGATTTCTACAGGAAATGTTCATGGGGAAAGTAACTACGAAGCGGATGTCGCAGAGTTCGATCCAATACATCATCACCATCATTTCTGCCCATGGGTGAATGGAAATGTTGCAGCTGCAGGCTGTAACAGTAGTACCAGTAGTGGAAACAATGCTGTGGCTTTATGTGGCTGGCAACTCACTTTAGATGCATTAGATGCATGCCAATCACTTGATGTTCCTATCCAAACTGTAGAGTCTGAGTCGGCAGCTTCATTATATAAGGTTTGCATTACCTATCTTGAATTTTCAAAGATATTTGTAGTGGATTGTCTTAATAAGGTCTGATTTGCCAAATGGCCATCCTTTCTAAAATCACATTTTGTCAGTTTTTCATGTAATGTAGGAATATTACATTGGTTTATTATTGGTCGGGAATTATTTCTTCGACCTGCTATGGTGTTCCTGTTGCCTTTCCTCATATGTTGCCTGAAAAAACAGTAGATTGTGCCTTGCCAAATTCATTAGAATGCTGTACTGCTTCTTGATATTTTAGATGCTTTTCATGGGATTGCAAAGCTGTTTGTCATATCAAATAGGATTTCAATACAAACTCCAGATTCACCATCACCAGGATAACAAGATTTGATTAGGAATTGCCACAGTTGAGCACGGAGCATCAACCTATGGAGAGAATCCTAGATTCTAAGGGTGTAAGAGTTATCCTTACAAATGATTAAAGCACCATATTGCCCTTTCTGTATTTTTGAGTTGTTTATAATATTTTTTGTAGCCAAAAAATTGTTTATTGTATTTTTATAAATACAATAGTTTTTCTTGGTTGATCTGTGCAATCCATACTTTGGTTTTTTTTGTGTTTTGGTTCTTTTGTGTGATTGGGGATTCTCACCCTTTTTAGATATATAGAAGGCTGGTGCGGCGATACTTTTTGATGTACAGAGTGCTTGGTACTTGGGTTGCCATTTTTTCGGTACATGTTGTGTATAGCTTTTCAAAAGAATTACAATTGTTAACCTTCATTCGAAACAAAAAAATTGTTGTCTTTTGCGTTTAATATACTAATCTGTCACATTTTCCTGTCCTTGTTCTTCTCCTTTTATTCCTAACCTTTGATTTCAGTATTTTAACTCAATGCACATTTTAGCATCTATAATCGTGGCATTTGATGCTCTTCTTAGCATCTTGATATTCAAGAAGCATTACAACGTCCATTTGATGAAAAGTCTAACCCGTGCTGGGATAGTTGAGGATGAAGGAACTTTTAGTATTTGTTTTTATAATACTTCTTGTAGTATTTGTTTCTTGTGTTTATTCAAAAGGCTGGGAACATATTATATTTTATATAATAAGTTCATTGTGGGCAATTGCATGACCAAGTACTTCTGTACATGGGAAGGGGCTGGGGCCCCACACCCTAGTCACCATGTTGTGGTTTCCATTCCCACCCCTGACACCACCCCACTAATATCTTCAAGAAGCTAACTCCCAATCCACTCGAAAAAAAGGGTAGGCGCCTGTCTTCCCCACTGAATTACCCAAAAATAAGTGCTTCTGTATATCTTCCCTTTATCTTTTGCTGTTAAATTTGATGTGTTGTGGCTCTGTTTTGTAAATTTGGCATTCCTTTTTTGATCTTATATTCTTCATCTTTTTTTCTTCTTTTTTTTTTTTCAATCTAGTAATTGTTGTTCTACTTAAAACAGGATGACCACTTAACTCCTGTTCAGAAACTTTTGGGTCGTCACTCTGTAAGCAGAAGCCATGGCCAGCTGTGAAATGTTCACATGAGAGCAGGTATATTGTCCCAAATGCCAATAATTAAATGCTCACATTACTTGTCCCTCCCCAAAGAAAATTGTTCATGTCTTTGTCTTTTCTTTTATCTGTAAGATAAAATTTATGCTATTCTATATTCTCATCTTCAGATAGGACCTTAACATTCCAGAACTTTGTTATTTGTAAAAGGAATACTGATTGCCTTCATGATACTATTCTTACAAATGATTGTATGTTAAGGGAGTAATTACTGAAGTAACTTGTGTCTTAGAACAGTTATGTGCAATACAAACATTAGAATTTATAATGCATGTACAGCAATGTTTCCTCTTAGCACAACTTCAACTTCTTGAGCCACCAGTTGTTCATTGGCTCGGGCTTTTTTGACTCTTAATTAATTCTCTGCCCTTTCCCTTCCTCCTAGTTCCCTTTTCCTTACCATTGTCAACACAGACCAATTTCTGTGGTTGCCCATTATAAGTGAGAGACCTATTATTTTTTCTCATCCTAGTCCTTACTTTGATGCCTCACTTCCGGCTAGGTCAGCCACATCAGGGATCCATTGCCCCCTTTGCATTCCCTTTCATCTCTATTCCCCAATATTATCCCCTTATAGTTCACCCAAGTTTCTGTTTCCCTAGACCTAACAATTTCCATTCTTAACCAGGACTGCAGTAGTACCCTGTCAAAGGAGTGTTATTATTTTACTTGTACTTATAAGAGAAGGATAAGTCTATTATTTCGGAGGACTGTGAAAAAGGGTGGTGATTAACTGGTCGAGAAATTACTAATATCAATCAAATCTTGACAATATGTGTGTGTTTCTGTTTGTAAAGAAATCTATCCAATGGAAGTATACTTCAGAAAAATTTATCCCAATTCCCATAGAAGATTTATGAAGAGATTATGTAGGGTTGGCAATGGGCCAGATGGCCTGGCCCGGCCCGCCGGCATGGCCCTAAAAACATACGGCCAAGGCCACAAAATGTGGCCCGAGTGTCTGGGCCTGGGCCAGACCCAGATAGGCCCAGCCTGGTTTGGCCTGGCCCGACCCTTATTTATTTAATTTTTATCTTTTTCGCATTGTGTCCTTTAATTTTTCCTGGCCCGGCCTAATAGGACCAGAGCTGGGCTTGGCTGACCCTCAAAGGAATAGGGCCGGGCTAGGGCCAAGGCTAGCCTGGCATGTTGCCAGTCCTAATATTCTGTAAGAAGAGATAAGTTAGATAAAGATCTCATTAGAGGAGAGAGAGAGATGTGGAGACAGTGGAGTAGATTATACATGCGACATATTTTGTGAAAGATCAAATGAGCTAAGAGAGATTTTTGAATTTATTTAAACTTAATAGATAGACAAAAGAACAAAATAGAATAAATCAAGAATCAAGAGGACAAAATTAGCCATTAAGAATGATATGTGTCGAAAGAATAATGGGGACTGTTGTTACAATGCCCTTGATACTTAACTTTTTGGATTCTTTTAACTCTACACCTTAGTGCAATATGAGATTCATCCAGGGAGAATGAAAATTAGCGGTAAATGCAACTTGGTAAGGGAAAAATATCTATAATACCTATAGGTCATACTTTGATCATTTACTTATAATTGTCATTATTATTCTGAGAAATGACATGCGTTGCTCTTTGCCATACATGTCGCGCATTAAGTTGCAAGGGTGTTATTCGTCCAAAAAATGTTGAGAAGGTTAAACAAGTTCACCATTTTGTCCTATGTTATCTTGTTTTTTAGAGTGTGTACAGGTCCGCAAACTCATGTTCCGCTTGATTGACTGTTGCAGTCAGTTGCTCTGGCGATGACTATTTATCTTCATATGATGCAAAAACCTGTACGCTTTCTTCCCGAAATTTTTGATTTTAGACACTTATATGCAGCTATTTAACTAAGTGATTTTCTTGCGCAAGTGTAGCCTAGTTATAGTTCCTTAATGCAAGATGTATTGGGTTTAAGTGGAGCCTGCATTGGGTTACTGTCTCTTAATATGGGGCTGTATTCCTGGATGGAAACTCATTTGCTTTTGCAGCTTCTTAACTTGTGGATTAAAGAATTAATTTTGATTTTATTGTTATTGAACAAATTAGTCTCGACTCTGTAATCAAATTTTTTGTTGAACTGTTTATCTATTTGTTCTTTCCTTTGGTTTCTTGGCTTAGTTTGTAGATGTTATGCATGGATAACATGTCAGTTGCATGCGTGCTTTTATGCATGGGGTTCACATGTAAAGAGAGGGCCTGATACGATATACAATGGTTACAGCGGATGGAACAGAAATTAGGAAAATAAAGAGACGGTCATATTTTTTTTTTTACTGATTAAATAGTTTCTGATACTACCAAAATAAAGTTATATTGACATTTCGGGCCATATTACTGCTGTTATTGAAAGGCAAGGTTCCAAAAAATGAATGGATATGCATATAGGAGAGGGCTTGATACGATATGTGATGGTTACGGCAGATGGAAACTTGGAACAGACAGGAAATCAGGAAAATAAAGAGGTGTTCATATTCTTTTTACTGATTGAATAGTTTCTTATACTATCAAAATAAAGTTTATTAACATTGAGGGCCATATTTCGAGAAGCGTGCTGTTACTGCTGTTATGAAAGGCCTAGGGGACCTAGGCTTTATGGTGAAATGTGAAGTTGCACCTTGAAATGAACATTCACCGGAAATTGTGGTTTCAGTGCTGGAGATCGATAGCTTGAAAATATATTTTTGTCCTTGATTGTAAAATTTGAAGTTTCAAAAATAGTGTAGATTTGACAGATCCATGAGCACTTGAAAATGGGAAGTCCAAGGTTTACATAATGTGTTATAAAATGCATTATTTATTAGGTTTGAGATCCAATTTTTCTTCACATCCATTGCTTTTGTGATCGGGATCATCAATTTGAGGGTTTTGAGGTGCAGCTTTATATTCTTCCACAAAACTTGGGCCTTATATACACATTTCCTTTTTGAAAAATAACGGATTTTGGATAGTTGTCTGATGTAATTCTTTTTCTTTTGAAATTTGTAATTCGATGTACCTGCTCATACACTGTTATATATACTCGCCATTCTTGACACAGAACCCAATAGAAGGGTTGATGAATCCAATATTATGATTGTTTTGAAACTTGGTACATTTCAAGTTCTGCAATCTTCAACTTCACTCAAGAGCCAAAAAGAGGACCAACTCTTTGGTCAAGAGCCAAAGAGGGCGAATTCCGTTTTTGGCCTGCACTCTCTCTACCAAAAGGAGGACAAGCCAAATTTGATTTCTTTTTTTTGGGAATTGGTTTTTATTTTATTAAAAAGTAGTTTGAATTTTTATTAAGTGGAATGTTTTAAATGGGCAAGCGGAAAGTTTAAAAGAATATGGATAGAAGTAGTGAGATGAAATATGATTATTTATGGTTAACTGATGGTATGGTTTTTAATAGAGCAAAATAGTAAAATATGATTTATGTAATAGATTCTTAATAGTTGGGATAAGACCTAGATGGTAATGAAACATACTTTTAAGACTTTTTTGATTTTATTTGAAGTATTTTTTTTCAGTTTTTTATCTCTAGAATTTCTCCTTGAATGTTTGAACTTGCTTTGAGTTTGACCTTTGAGAGGGTCCAACTCGCTAATGGAACTAGTTTTGAATTGGTCCTAATGGCCAGCAAGTGTTGAATGTGTCGGGTTGAGCACTCCGCCCATGCCCGAGCCAAATACTCGGCTTGAGTTCGGATAACTTGGCTCAAGCAAAAAAGTATTTAAAAATTTAAAAATATCAAAAATACCAAAAAAATACAAAATATATGTTTAAAGTAGATTAAACAAAATACATATAAATGAGGATAAATGGTAGGGAATAAAAAAAGATTTTCAAGAATCAGTACGTGATAGGAGTTGTTTTCGAAAGTAAAAATAAGTATTCATGTTCAAAATATTTTTCAATCTTTGCCAAGTAGCCGAGCCTGAGTAACTCGGTAAAGTCGATGCTAACTCGGCTGATCTTATGTTGGTTAGAATTGCTTTAAATTTGACCCTTGAAAGGACGAACTCGTACCCTATGATTAGCTTAAGATCGAGCAACATCGATTTTTTGTGTTCAACAGTTCTTCCGGAAAGTCTAGAAGTGAGTTCGACCCTTAAAGGGCTGAAATGGTCCCTATGGCTAGGTTAAGTTCGACAAAGCATCAGTTTTGCTTAAGTTTACACCATTGGAGGGTTGAGTTGGTCCTCATGGCTTGTTCAAGTATGGAATAACCTGAAATGAGAGTCCAATCGCGGGTAATTTTGGAATAAACAATAACCGAGGATGAAAAGGGACCCCACTATAAAATTGAAAATTTTTAGGACCATTTATTAATTTTGAAAGGAAAATGTTTTGATCTTATCAAAATAAGTTAAGTCTCACTTCAAAATTCATTGAAAATTGAAGTTATTGCTTTGAAAAGCCTTCAAATTAATTATCTTGGCCTTGACCATGTAGTTGTGCAAAAACATTAGGGTTGTAATATTAAAAATGTGTATATTATAATACATTATCTAAATCGTCTTAAAAATAAATGTTCATGGATTTGTAAAAAGACATGGTTGAAAGTAATGAGAAAATATACGGCGACTTATGACTTTACTGAGGGGGGTATATCTCTTGATAGAACATAACGGCATAATAGAACTCATGTAGTCAATCCCAAATAGGAAAAACTTGAGATGATGATTTCCGATGCCCAAAGCGCTTTCCATTCGAATATCCAATTGAGTCTCTACTTTGTTTTGATAAAGCCTTAAGCCTCATAGAAGCTGCGTCACAACTAATATTTCAAATAAAACTGAGGCCTGTATTATAAATGCTATGTTTTGACAAAATCTCTCTCGTACGTGGGGCAAACAACTATAAGTGTTCGAACTAAACTGAGGTTTGAATTGAAATAAAACTGAAGCATGAATTTAAAATGCCATGGCTAATTAAAATCTCTCTCTCACACATATGTGGGCCCAACTGAAACATTCAAAATAAAACTGAGGTTGAATTAAAAAAAAAATTATAGTTTGATAAGGCTGCGTCCCTATCAAAATAAGTAAAGCCTCACCTCATAATCATAACTCATTGAAAATAAATGTGAAAAAAAAATTAGGATTTGAAACAATATATATTTTAACAAATTATCTAGACCATCATTTCATGCTAAAAAAAAAGTGTTAAAAAATCTGCAAGGTCTGTATAAATTTTTGAGTTTCAAAATTTATTAGCAGTGTTGAAAATTGATTTTAAAGCCATCATAAAAATTACAGTTACAACCTTACTTTTCTTATGAGAGTTTGAGGTGAGGCATTTATTTGGTTTTCATTCAAAGCCTAGGCCTTGTAGAAACTTCATCCCTGAAAAACATACATGAATTCAAATGCTATGGCCTGAATCTATACAGGCAGTTATTAGACTCTTCCAAGGTGAAATGTTAGTGCAATTCCAATAGATATTCAAGAGCATTAAAAATTAAGCTATAGGTCACCCAGAAAGAGAGAGCACCCTATATCAACCACCACTCACTGGACTCCGACCCTTTATCAATTCTCTAAACTCCTCATCAGTGCTCTTGAGCATAGTAGACAAAGGCAACCTAACCCCACTCCTCACCATCTCCTCATGCCTAGGTTTTATCCTTTTCTCCAAGCTAAATGCAAAATACTGAGGAAACTCCTTCAACTCCTCCAAATTCTCTCTCATCTCATCTATATAATACCCAAACTTTGGCTTAAAATTATTCTCAATGCTGAAAGTGAAAAGAGCAGGGCACCTCAACACCATTTGCACTGCCTCCTCATAACTGAACCCTAGAATCTGAATAAACTCAAGCTTTGGAATGAGGATGTTTTCAACACTAGAAACAAGCAAAATGGGGTCTTGAAAGGCAAGTGCCTCTCTCTCCATAAAACCCAGTTTCTCTAAGTAGAAAAGAGCTGGCTTGAGCTGGTCTCTCACACTAGAAACCAGAAGCCTTGGGCACTTGGTGATGGGCTTCCTGAAGCTCTTGTGTGGGACTCCCATTTCATCTTCTAGGAAGAGGAACACTGGTTTGAGGTCATTTTCTATGCTTGAGGTCAAGATCTTTGGGCACATTCCTATGATCCTTGGGATGTCTTTTTGGTGAATTCCTTTGGTTTGGAGATAGGAGAGAATTCTATTAATGGAGTCTAGACTTGTAGAGTGCAGAGATGGGTTTAGAGAGAGAGCTCTACCTGAGTCGATGCCCATGATCTCAAGGCACAGGATCATCTCTTTGAATTTATCAGGGATTTCTTGGTCTAAGTGAGGTGGGATTTGGAGCTCTTCTTCATTGATCTCGAACGGGAATTGGTCCTCTAAAATGGGTTGTTTCAGTTGGGTTTTCTCATGGTTTTTTGTGGGTATTTGGCCATCTAAATTACATGTTTCTCCGTCCAAATTGGATTGAATTTGAGACTGTAAAGTGGGTTTCTTTGGATGTGTTTTCTCACTATGTTGGAGAGGCTTTTCACTGATATTCAAGGAAATTTGGGTCCCTAATTTGGAGTTGTTTTCTGAGATTTTTTTAATGGACTGAAGAGCTTTTGGTGGATCTGATAAATGGAGCTTTGAGGACATTTCTGATGAGTGGTTTGTGAGTTTTGATGAGAGAGAGAGCGCCCTATGGAAGGATGATTGGGTGAGCATGGAAGAAAGGAAATGAAGAGCAGGAGGCATGGTGTAATATGCAATCAGAGTGAAAGAGATTAAGGAAAAATGTGAGAGGAGAGAGATATTCGAGGAAAAATGTGATAGAAGGAAAAATGAAAGAGACTCGAGGGAAAATGAGTGGATCTTTTCTCTTGCTTGCTCCTTATCTTTAATTTTGTGATACATGGCAGTATCTTCCTTTATGATTGGCCAAAATGGAGATATCAGATTTTATTGGGTCTAAACCGCTGAAAGGCGTTTGTCGATGACTTCTCACGTCCCGGATTAACCATGGTGTGAATGGGTTGCGTCTCCTTTTTCGAACCTGGACCCCACCAGGTTTGGTTTGGTTCGATTAGATTAGCTCTGGACCTGACCCGACTAGGTCATAGTTGAACCTGCCTTTGGTTCGATTAGATCCAAGCTTGACCCGATTAGGTCATGGTTGAACCCTTGCCGGACCTGAGCTGACTTGACTGTTGGGTCCAAAGACCTAGATCCTTTCAACCTCTGACTCCAAAACTCGAATTTGAACCTGGACCCGAGCTGGGACCATTGACTGATTGACAACTCTTTCCTGGCCGGATAGAGTACATGCTCCCTAGGGAGTAACGTGCGCTTTTGCTCCCTCAGGCAAAAGCATAGTTGGGGTACTACATGGAATACCAAAATTTGAATTTTGGTTTTCCTGATCTACTCAGTCAAGCGACTAACCCATAAAATAACTTGGAGGGATACATCTAGGATTTGCCTAATAAAATTCACACCATATGGACCTTTAACTTTGGACCTTCAAATCAAGCTGGTTTGCAATTAGAAATCCAATTTTGTTTATCTTTTTTACGTGAGAATACTCTTTAAGGGGATTTCAAAATTTTAGATGAAGAAAATCATACCAAGTATGTCATGTGCTCAATGGAATAAATGTCATCATTATTATCATTATCAAAGCTTTTGCTTAATTTATTGGAGTCAGCTACACAAATTCCGGCCTATCGTTCTGTTTTATTAAGGGCCATACCATCAGTTAAGTCATAAATCCCCATATTTTTTATTCAATAAAATTAATATACGGGCTCAATGATTTATTTTCTCTTTTGCTTCTTTTGTCATAAAAGATTACATCTTGCTGGAGTAAAATGTACATGTACTCTCTCATGCAAAAAGTGTTTTAGAAGTAGTTTTTACCCCAAGTTTGGTTTGTGATCTAGTCATTCTACGGCATATTAAAAGGAACAAGAGAAATGGCACACTAAGAACTTCCTCATAAGTTCCTTTCAAAATATGGACAATCCACTTTTTGATGATCAGATTGAAGTGCTTAGAAGAAAATATATTTGTTCCGTTCTTTTGCAGTTTTGCAGTAATATATTTGTTCCGTTCTTTTGCAGTTAGGTAAATGGGAGTAGTGATTCTAAGGTGCTTCCCAAAATTTAACACCAAACAAACTAACGCTTTCAATATGGGCAGTTTTTAAGAGTGCCATTGAAGAGACAATAAGTTCCAAAAAAAATAAGATTTTGTAACTCACACCAAGCCATCCAATTAGACATTAATGAGTGAGAATGATTATAACTTCCATGTACAAAAGATAAATGGTCTCTTTTTATTGACAAATCTTTCTATTTTTCTTTTCTTTCTACTCATTATACCAAGTAGACATTTTGACTTGGCTTAAGCAAGAATGAATGAATGAAGCAAGAATGGGAAATTTATCACTTTATGTATAACTATTTCTTTTTTTTTTTCTTTCTGTATTTTAATTTTCAAAATTTCATCAAAGCATAGTCACAAATGGTGGGGAAAAATGGGTGGAGGTACAATTTTTTTTTTAAAGGTGTGGTTTGTATAAGGCTGAGGCCCTAAACAATCAAAGTAAGGCGCACCTTCAAATAAATATTGAAAGGTATTGTTTCGGTACTGAAAACATTTGTGATGGCCTAAATTTTTTTTTTCGTCTCTAATTATAAAATTCAAAGCTTCACTATGAATACTTGAAAATATTGAAAATTGACGGTCTAGAAAATGTATTAAAAAAATACACTATTTCCAAAACTTAAAATTTATTTTTTCTCATGACCATTCATGTTGAAGTCGAGATGATCAATTTAACGATTTTTTAGCATCGAAAGAACATCTTCTAGTGAATTTTTTAGGTTTGATTGTTTAGGGCATCGCCCTTATATAAACTTCTTCATTTTTTGGGTGTGGTTTCCTATAACGTTGCAACCTTAAACAATCCAATTAAAGCACAACTCCAAATTTTATCATAGCATGTATTTTTGGCATAAAAAATTCTTAGGATTATCTGAAAATGTATTTTGATATCTAATTATAAAATTTTAAAACTTAAAAAATGGTTAAAATCAAATAGATTTATAACCATATGAAAATCTTGAAAATGGGAGGTCTAAATAATGTGTTGCAAGATGCCCTATTTATGAGACAGAAAATCTTTTTCTTTTTTTTCATATTTATAGAAGGTAATGTTGAGATGATCAATTAGAAGGTTTTTCAACATTAAAACAACCTTTTTCCGATGGAGTTTTGAGATGTATATGTAATTCTATATTGAAGGTTGCAACCTTATATAAACTTTTTTTCACTTTTTTTACAAAACGAATTTTGTTTGATGGAGGGGAAATACAAAAAATCACCCCTCTTGAGGTTTTTTTTTAAGCTAGGGCAGAGTAAATCTGAAATGTTGCATATCTCTTGTACTTCTATATTGGTTGAGATATGTTGGGCTAAAAAATGTGGTTAGAGAGAGAAAGTTGCAAGAGAAAGAGAGAGAGAGAGAGAGAGAGAGAGAGAGTAGTTTAAGGCACACCCCTCTACGTACTCAAACAAACATGAAAGAATTACAAAGGCTATTGGTCTCTCACCTTAAACCGACACCCCCCAAATGGCCACCCGACCCCTCCACCCTCCTCTCTCTCCTCCAAAACCAAAAATTCCCCCCTCCCTCTCTCCTCCACCGCGCCCACGCCCTCATCCTCCGCCTCCACCACCACCAAGACCCCGCCCTCATCTCCAAACTCATTTCTCTCTCATCTCGCCTTACACGCATCGCCTATTCCCTCTCTCTTTTCACCCATTTCCCTAACCCCACCACCTATCTCTCTAACACCATGCTCCAAGCCTTGTCCGATAATGGCCTCCATGCTCGAGCTTTCTCTCTCTACAAGTCTTTTTCTCTCTACCATTCATCCCCACCGAATCGGTTTACGTTTCCTCCTCTCCTCAAGGCGTGCGCTGGGCTCCAAGCCCTCGAGCCAACCCGACAAGTCCATGCCCACATCGTGAAGCTTGGGTGCGAGTTTGATGCGTTCGTGGGGACCGCACTCCTTGATTCTTACTATAAGGCGGAGAGCAGTTTGGCTGCACTCCAAGTATTCGATGAAATGCCACAAAAAAATGTGCCTTCTTATAACGCGATTGTGTCGGGTCTGGCCATGCATGGTGAATTGGAGCTCGCAAGGAAGATCTTTGATGAGATGCCGGAGCGGAGCGTGGTATCGTGGAGTGCAATGCTCTCTGGGTACTCGAAAAATGGTTTTTTCCATGAGGCTCTTAGCCTTTTTGAGCAGATGAAAGCCTCTGGCCCAAGCCCGAATGATATCACTCTGGTGAGTGTTTTATCGTGCTGTGCGCATCTAGGTGGGCTTGCGCTGGGCCAAGAAGTGCACATGTTCTTGTTGGATCACGGTTTCAAGCTCGACATTTATGTTGGCACTGCTCTAATAGATATGTATGCGAAATGTGGTGACATAGACAAGGCGCGGAGCGTGTTTGATCTCATGCCGGAGCGTAATGTTGTGGCCCATACAGCCATGATAAGTGGTCTAGCGATGCATGGGCTTGGGCTCGAGGCCTTACAGGTCTTCAGTGAGATGCAGGATCAGGGACTAGAGCCTGGTGACATCACTTATGTGGGCGTGCTATGCGCGTGTGCGCATGCGGGCCTAGTCTCTGATGGTCTTACCCACTTCCGCAACATGACTAGATGCTATAATTTAGTCCCCAAACTGCAGCACTATGCTTGCATTGTGGACCTCCTCGGTAGAGCGGGATTGCTCGCAGACGCTTGCAGGTTCATCCTTCAAATGCCCGTCGAGCCCGATGCCATCATATGGGGGGCCCTGTTTGGCACATGCAGGACTCACCACAACCTCGAATTTGGAGAATTCGCTGCCCATAAGCTCTTAGAACTGGAGCCTCTCCATTCCGGATGCCATGTCTTCCTCTCAAATGTCTACGCGAAATCCCGGAAATGGGACAAGGCCGCGGAGGTGAGGAAGAAGATGACTGAGATGGGAATGAAGAAGATGCCTGGTAACAGTTGGACTGAGGTTGGGACTGTGGTTCACCGATTCAAGGTTGGGGATAGATCACATGAAAGAAGTGAAGAGATTTATAATATGCTTGATGAGTTAACCTCAAGGTTAAAGCTTGAGGGCTATGTGCCTGATGTGGGCTATGTGGCCTATGACATAGAGGAGGAGGAGAAGGAACAATCAGTCTCAGTTCACAGTGAGAGGTTAGCAGTTGCATTTGGGCTGATTAGCACGACTGAAGGGACGCCAATTAGGGTTGTGAAGAATCTCAGAATCTGCAATGACTGCCATGTTGTTATTAAGCTCATTTCAAAGGTCATGGGGAGGGAGATAATCTTGAGGGACAATAATCGCTTTCACCATTTTCGCGACGGTTCGTGCTCATGTGGGGATTACTGGTAGCAGTGAGATATTGATCAGAGAACCAGGTAAAAAAAAAAAAATTGGACATAAATTAATGAGTCGACTATCAAAGGGGAATATTGTATCATCATCATACGAGCATTATCCCAATTACTTGGGTCGGCTGGTCAAATGTTGTATCATAAAAGAGAAAATTAAATTTTATGAGATTGATTGGGTTATTTTGTTGGATTTTAGTGATTTCAATTAAGCAATTTTTCTTAAGAAATGAATTGTGTAAAATAATGAAGTTCATGGGCTGTGGCCGTTTTAAGGATTTGGGTAGAAAGCCTAATTTGACAAAATATGAGAATTTGCGTAATGACCAAAAAAGCCATGGACTAAAGTATGAAGTGCTTGTGTTCAACTCCATGCACATCATCTTAAGAAGATGATTGAAGATCAATGGGCTAAGAGATGAAATCAATGGGTTAGGGGACGCAATTCCAATTTGTGGATTTCAGGTTCTCTTTTAGAGACAAATCATGATCTGTCAGACCATGATGTAACTATAACTCTATGGTACATAAAGGTAATATCTCGCACGTGTACACACTTCACTTTCAATGGTGAATTACTATCTCAGTACGTTATTTATGAACATGCTGTGTGATGATACAACAATGAGGTTTTAGTCGTGTCTCTATGGATTGTTCATCACACATATAAGGGTCACATAGTCTCTCGGCTCTCATCCGATCATACTACGACCTCATCAAGGGCTAGTCCAATAAACCCTCGTTGGTTTCATCTCTATGCCTAAGTACCTTGGGTTTTCCAACTTGGCTCGCCTAGCACGTCGAGCCTACTCTGAATATTGGCAAATTGCATTTGTCTAGTATGATTCACAAGAATACCACATTCCCATAGAGTTTATGATTCATTTATTTCAAATGTTTACACAATCTCTCTTAAAGCCTTTAGAGGCCACATAAACCCAACAGTAACAACCATTGGATATAAAATTTAATAGCTTGGATGTGTCATAAAGTTTGATACAATTTATTTTGATCTTTGAGCTTGTCCAATGGAATAAATGTGTCCACCCAATTTCTCGTTCAATAATTATTATTAATTGTGATGACGTTGTACAAAAGATAGGTGGTCTTATTGTATAATGTTCTTGTATAGGATTTTGTAGTATAAGATTCATCACTTTGGTACAACGAGGTCACAATCGTTCTTACCCACTTGGTGTGAAATCTAATAGATTAAAGTTCGTCATAATATTTGAAAAAATTTTATTTTGAACTTTGTATGCAATCATCTCCAACTTCCTGATTACACATTTAATGGTTAATAATGATTGTAACTTTATTTATACCAAAATTGAATGATCTTATTATATACATTTCCTTGTTCTAACGGTCAGTGATTTTATGCCACTATTTCAAAATATAGTGAAAAAACTATGTTTGTAACGCGAGTATGACCTAAAATTTTGTTCAAGCAATTTCTTCATCCTAATCAACCCCAAAAGTTAAACATGGTTCTTCTCTCTAACCAAGAATCTAGACCATCTATTTGGTCGATATTGATATTTAGGTCCTTAAAAATTTAAAATCATTTTGTGCTTTTTAAATTTGCTTGTCTAAAAATGATAAGGCTATTAACAAAATATGGTATTAAAATAACCCTTTAAATGTCTATATCTAATCGTCTAATTCAAATACACAGCCTATGTCCATTGGGTTACAAAAAACACTTTTTATATTATACTCTCAAAATCTGTTTCTCATAAATTGTTCAATCGTAATGAAAATAATGTGTATTTTAGAATTGGAGTCAAACAAATACCTTAACATGGTTTTTAAAAGGTTTGCATAAAATTACTCCCTATATATGTAGAGAGAGCATAGCCCACAGGAGCACACTCCCTCGGGTAAAACGCTTACTTGGGATAATATTTTCAATCTCAAATCTTGGGAACCATGTAATAATCATAATCAGTATATGAATATTAAAAAAAAAAAAGAAAAAAAAAAAAGCTATTATGAGTTCTGAACGGTCTCAATTCATTCTTGAAGTAAGGTTTGTACGAGGTGCCCACCTTATACTATAGAAGTAGGATTAACCTCTAAATTTTGTAGAAAGATGTAACCTCAATGTTAGAAAAATTAAAAAATTCAAGTTCACTCTAATTATGAAATTTAAAATTTTAAAAATGCTGAAGATTGAGTAAATTTATAAATATTTGAAAATAGACCGTCTATATAACTTGTTACAAGATCGACAACTTTAGGATTTGAATTTTTTTTCTTTATACCCATACTTCTCAAGGTCGAGATAATAAAAAAGAAGGTTGTTCAACGTCCTAACACTCATTTTTAATGGATTTTGAAGTGCACCTTAGTTCAATAGTATAAAGTTGGAATCTTACTTTGAGAGAGGGATAGCGTTTTATTAGAAGGATGAAACCGTATTTTTGGTAGCCAAAAGGATGTTACTGTGTTCCACTTATGAGAGTTGCAAAGTTGGGGATTTGCTTTTCAAATGAAATGGGAGTATAATCATTTGCTTTGTTGTTATTATGTACTTTGTTAACAAATGATGCTTTATTTAGACCAAGTCACTTCAAGTTCGTTATATGATTTTTCAAAAGCGAGTTATTACCTAGTTAATGCCATAACTAATTGATTTATTTTTTATTTTTGGGTAAATCACCATACTAATTGATTGAGGTAAAAATTTTGACCTTTAAAGAACATATGATGGTTCACGCATTTGGCGTAGTCCTACACGAGCATACTATATACTTACTCCTTTAGTCGATAGACTTGCAGTGGTTGATTTTTTTGTTTTTTTTATTTGAAATTTTAAGACCACTTAAATTTGCCTTATAGATATTTTTTTTCAAAGAAAGAAAGGAAGACGAAAACGTTAACTCTTAAATTCTTCAAGGATCCACTTTAAAATCACTTTTTAACTCACTTTTTGCTTTTTTTTTTCTTTTTTTTTTTTGCAGTTAAGATGCATATTTTTTTAAAAAAAACAGGTTAAGTTTTTATCCATTTCAACATGTGGAGACATGAGAGATGAGTAAAACACTTTTTAGTTTCTACGTCTTTTCTTCATAGAGGCTAATAAACAGATTTAAGGAGTATGACGTTAAAACAAATAATAGATAGCTTGTAGCAAATAAAGAAATAAATTAGAAGAAACTATCACAACTAAACAAGAAGTTGAGAACACATACATAAGTAACATACACCAAAAATAACATTAAAAAGAATTAAATTTTTTTCCATATTCATCACAAAATAATATTTTTATAAAAAAATATATAAAACATTAAAAACAATCCAACAAGCTCACCAAAAATGTATAACATTAACAAGAAACAAAAATTTTCCTCATATTCATCACAAATAACCATATTTTTGTAAAAACAATCCAACAAGCTCACCAAAAATATATAAATTTAGAAAAAAAAGTATATTCTTTTTTTCCCTCATATTCATCACAAATTTCATATTTTTATAAAAACAAAACGTAATTTTATTTTAAAAAAAATGTTTTAAGAACCCTAAAATCGAGCCAAAGAATACATAAACTTTAGAGTCGAAATCAACCCCAAATCTTTCATTTTTTAACAAATTGATATGGGGATATGATAGATACTTCAATTAAGATTCAAATGCACCAAATTTCATGAAAACTTATTCACTATTGAGATCTTTATTCAAAAAATTGTGAATTTTTTACTTCACGAAAATTTCAGGAAAAAACGCAGTAAAAAAAAATTGATGTAAAAAAATTTAATCAATAGTAAATCAAAATAACTAGTTTATTTGATAGATAAGGACTTTATGATCAAACTTCAGTGATTAATTCTATAAAAATCGATCAATTGATTGATAAGAAATCAATTTGTTTGGATAAAAATAGTTCTTCGTGTAGCTGTACTTCGGGCCCAAAAAAACCTCAAATCTTCAGCGTTTTGGAAAAATTGAAATATATAAACATTGAATCCTTCAACAATCAATCAAACGCCTCCATTTATATGAAAATCTATGAGGTATTAAAGCTACATTTGATAGAATGGCGAAAATTTTTAATTTTCAAAAATCTCCATTTCAATCCGCCAAGAAGTCTTTGTTTTTCGATCTCTGATTCAATAATAGATAATCTATAGAAACTTTACGGTGTATAATATCAATATTTGACTGATAAAACAAAAAAAAACTACAAAATGAAAGAAAAAAATGCTACAAAATCTTGAACTATGAAAATAACTGGCATGTGTCAAATAACGGCTGTTATTTTATGCATTATAACAACGTTGTAACGCACGACAACAATAGTAAACCGGACCGGTTAAGAAAATCGACCGATTTTTAAGAAAACTGCCAGTTTGACATTGAACCGGCCAGTTTTGGCCTCGATTTTTTTTGGTGAGTTCTACCTTATCATGTGTACTGCAAAACCGGCCATAACTGAAATTGCCACCCCACTGGTAGCGAACTAACCGGCCAGTTCCAGTTCTCACCGGCCGGTTTTGCGAACACGGGTTCCACTTATGAGAGTTGCAAAGTAGGGGATTTGCTTTTCCAATGAAATGGGGTTATAATCATTTGCATAGTTGTCATTATGTACTCTGTTAACAAATGATGCCTTATTTAGACCAAGTCACTGCAAGTTCGTTATATGATTTTTCAAAAGCGAGTTATTACCTAGTTTATGCCATATCTAATTGATTTATTTTTTATTTTTGGTAATTCACCATAACTAATTGATTGAGGTAAGAGTTTTGGTTCACGCATTTGGCGTAGTCCTACACGAGCATACTATATACTTACTCCTTTAGTCAATAGACTTGCAGTGGTTAAATTTTTTGGTTTTTTTTTTTTTGAAATTTTAAGACTACTTAAAATTACGTTGTAGATATTTTTTTTCAAAAGAAAGAAAAGAAGAAGAAAGCGTTAACTCTTAAATTCTTCTAGGATCCACTTTAAAATCACTTTTTAACTCACTTTTTGCTTCTTTTTTTTTGGGAGTTTTTTTCTTTTTTTTTTGAAGTTGGTCACGAGGTTCAGAGGACGCATCTCCAATAGCTATGGGGTTGTAAAATTTGAAACATTTTCATTTGAAGTTCATGACTAAGTGTATGATTTGATCCCGTGGGAGCATAAAATCTGTAGACGACCTTTAAGACAGCTTCTATTCATTTCTATCTCTCCTTTGCTAGTCAT